TAGATACAGGTGGGACTTAACTGGTATCCATCTCAGGTCTTTCAGGGCTGGAGATACGTGATCAAACTTCCTTGTCCCAGAAACTATGCGACCAGCGAAATTCTGTACTCCTTGTAGTTTGCGTATATTGCAGGCAGAAGTATTCTACCAGACGGACGAGCAGTAATACAACGTACTAAACACGAGAGAATTAATTATTGTAACAAGTATGTCTTTTCTAAATATATGTTTAACTTGGCTAATTTGCCCTAGGGCAGACATACAAGATGATGCTGTTTTAATTATGTGGTCGTTGAATGAGAGTTTACTGTCAAACACTACACCCAGGTCCTTAACAGAGTCGACGGGTAAAAGTTCTTTACCCAAGAGGGTAAGGCGAAAATCCTGAAGTTTCGATATCATTTGCCGACTTCCATATACAATCAGTTTAGTCTTGTCCGGGTTCAGGAGTAGCCTATTATTAAAACACCAATTACGTAGCGGCTATAGTCTGCTGTAGCGGTTCACAGTCCTGCACTTGGAATGACATAAGCAATTTAGTGTCATCAACGTAGCAGTCCGTGGAACAGGAACAATAGCATTTACTAATCGTCTCGATTTCCATACTGTAGTGTTGTGGGATCGATGGCAAGTCATTGGTGTAAGCCGTGAATAGCAAAGGACCGAGGATGCTTCCTTGGGGAACACCGTACCTCATTAGCAGGGGTTCGGAAAGAGCAGTATTTATACGCACAGCTTGGTACCTGTTTGACAAGTAGCTCTTGAACCACAGGATGGCAGAGGGTGACAAGCCAATATCTTGTAATTTTTTAAGCAGAATATCGTGGTTGACACTGTCGAATGCTTTGCTCATATCAAGCAGAACTACAGCTGATGTTTTCTTTTGGTCAATTGCGGTGAGAATGCGATCAGAAGTGTAGATCAGTGAAGTCTCGGTGGAATGCCACTTTTTATTACCACTTTGATGGGCGGAGAGACGATCGTTCTCCACCGAGTAGGGCATAAGTTGATTTAAAGCGATACGCTCACATAGTTTTGAAAGAACAGGTAATAGGGATATAGGGCGGTAGTTATTTGGCTTTTCGTGATCGCCTTCTTTCAACACGGGGATCACTTCAGCTGTTTTCCACTCAATTGGAAAGGTATTTCTTGCGAGAGACTCGTTAATTAACCTTTACGGCTAAATATAATGGCGTTTTCTCCAAAACACCCTAAGTGAGACCAAAATCCGAAATTTACATCCCTAAGCGACACGAAGAGCATCTCCGCCCCTTTCATATCCCCCGGGCAAAACATCTCAACCCTATACAGTTGTGGATACTGGCGTCTTTTTGCGAGGTGGGGGAGTGGTTGAACATTTGGGATTTTAAAAAATTCCCCGCAAATTCAACTTCGTTCAAAAACGTTAGTCCACGATGGTAGTTTCAGGCTGATTTTGCTTTTCCATTCGACTTTCGCTGGGCTCCCTATAATTTTAATCTCAATTCTGTTGCCGAGTTAGTGGACTGGATGGTAAACTAACTAGAGAACAAGTAATGGTTTCGGGTTTGTTACATTTTATACCTTACTGTTTCTTCCCCCTCCGTCTCCCCCCGTCTTCGTAGAAGTACTAAGATTTACAACGAGAAGAGCGAGACTTCGATAAAATGTCACGAATTGTACCACTACAGTCCAACCCTTCCTCTTCTTTGGCTTGGAGTAGGAAGTCTTAACATAACCTCTCTTTTTTTCAGACACATGGAATAAAGTGCTTAGTATATGAGACTAAACAAAAAATAAATAAACCGAGGAACCTTAATGATATTTTCGTCCTTTAAAACTTTATCAAATTCCATACATAATAAAGACACACATAATAAAGTAATAACAATAAAGTGTTTACTCATCAAAAGATAAAAATACATATCTTTTGTTACAAGTAAGTGTAAGAAATTGTAAAAAGTAAGAGTTAAAAATATAGTATATTACATAGCTAATTCATATTTTAAAACTTAACGATTAATAAAAGAGTTTTTCAAAGGCGCAGTGTTAATCTTAGGAATAAAACAAGTTTCTTTCCTAGGATTATAACTGGACAGTTTAACACGAGACATAATAGATAAAAGTGGATGTTCTTTAGCATTAGAAACTGTTTTGAAAATTTTACGGTCTTGCCTCTCTAAGAAATCATAGCGGTCTAAGAAACATTGTACAGGTGTCAGATCGCACTCGGACGCGGCGTAGACAGATGATGCGTGATTGATATTAGGTAGAACTATTGTATTAAGGAGACGGCCTATTTCTAATTGATTGTACCCCTTCTTGCGCAGCGTTCTACGGATATGTAGGGATTTGTTAGCTTTAGTAAGTTTGTTCTTCGCGTGCACTGAAAATTTGCTGTTGCATTGGAAGGTGACGCCCAAAATCTCTACTTCTTTACAACTTGGTATCATCCCGATAGGTGAATAGAGATCGCGGTTGCCTCTCTTTTTGATCGTCAACTATTTATATTTGCTTGGATTGCAAGACATTCCAGTTGTATTCGTCCAATCTAAAAACTGTAACACTCACTTATCGGAGTAGTCTACCTCCTTCCATACAGGAGCAATAATTGTCGAATCATCAGCGTACTTGAGGTACTTAAATAGCGCGTCATGATTACCTAAAATGATGTTAAGATCTTTGAGAAGGCTGTTAAAAAGGTAAGGACCGCTAACGCTACCTTGAGTTGTCCCTTTGTTAACCGGTTTCCAGTCACACTCAACGTTGTTGCAACATACCCTTTGTTTGCTATCCTTTAAAAACTACAAGTACCAATTGGTAATATATGGATTCAGTGGGAGCTTTTTTAATTTAGTAGCAAGAAGTTCATGTTTCATGGAAAAATATTTTCATGTTGATCACGCAAGGAAGACTTGCGTTAATGCGAATCCCGCAAACTTGGTAACGAAATCACAAAGGTATGCAAAATCACATGATTTATAAGAAAAACTTCTGATTCGTTATGCGAGGACCCTTAGCTTGGATCTTTTGCTTGCGATGCTGGCGGTAGGACCTCTCGCAATGACCTTTCCCAGACATCTTCCACCCTTTCTGATGTTCTAACTTCACACAAACTGAGTCACCTTGCTGTTGGTCGGGAAGTGGTCGCACTCCATGTCTCTTGTCGAAGTACTGACGGTATGCAGTTTTGTATTGGTTTGTTGACACTCACAATTTTGCTGGTAGTCCCCATCGGACAAAGATGTCCTTGAGCTTGTTGATCACAGCATCGCTAGTGGTACTGGATCGATACTGGACATGAAAGCTATTTCTGGAAATCTTGAATAATAGTCGATGACTACTAGGAACTGCTTCCCTTGATGTTCGCACAGGTCTGCAATAATCTTCTTCCAGGCTCTTTCTGGGAGAGACGTAGTAATAAGTGGTTCCTTTCTCTGATTGGGTAAATTCTCCTGGCAAAAGTCAGTTTGAAACTTTGTTTTGGATGTCACGGCTAATGACAGGCCACCAACTGACATATTAGCTTTTTTGCGGACACCTGGTTATGCCCTGATGGCCATCGTGGATACGTTCCAATACCTCAGACTTAAATGTAGGAGGTATTGCTAAATAATCTTGCCATCTGCCACCACATGATAAGGACGGAGTTCTTCCGGTACATGTTTAGCATACTTTGGCCAACCGTTGACGGTACAGTCAAAAACACGACTCAGCTGAGGATCAGAAGAAGTAGCAGACTGCCGTCTCCATCTCAGTTGATACTAGTTGCACCATTTCAGCTCTGACATCTTCTTCTGTTTCAGACGTCTCAGACGAAAATGAGAGGGGATTTCTTGAAAGAGTGTCAGCCACAACAAGGTCCTTTCCTGGTACATATTCAGCATTGGGCTTAAATCTCATCAGTTGTATAAGGAGACGCTGACATCTTAGAAGCATTTATCCAGGTCTTGCTGATTGATCAGCGGTACCGGGTAACCATGGCTTTGACCTTTTCTAAGGCTTCCATTTGGCGATGAGACCAATTCCAAGCACTATTAGCTTTCAGCGAGTCCTTCCGAGGAGTGTCCTATTACACAACACTCTCACATCGCGCTCATTGAATAAATTCAGTTATGGAAGAGTTGATCGAGCGCCTTCAGAGGAAATAGAACATGGCATTACGCTAAACCCACGAATTTTCAGCGCGTAAGTGGGTAGGTGGGCCGTCCCGCCTTTTTTCCTTGGCACTGATCTGCGAATGAGTGGAGCGAGAATGCTTTGTCGCTACTTGTCACGTTATCCGCGAGATATGACATTTTAATTAGTTACATTCAAGGACTGTTTTTTCTTTCGAGATTGTAACATTGATTTTTTTATTGCATGTTCATCGTATATCCGTTTTTTGGCTAGGCGTACAAAGCTTTATTCAGTTTTATTTCCTTTACGTCAGAAGGCATGCGTTAGGTAATTCCTTTCCTAAGCACGTTTATTCAGTTGTAAGAAGCCCATCACAGTGTAAGGAGCTTTTGGAGAACTTTCGGAGTTATTACAACTGTAGGAGATTTGGAGTTCTTTTAACCTCCGGAGTCAAGATCAGACGTAAGTCACGCTTGTAAATTCAGTAGTTTGTTTTTCTTTCTTTTTTCGTGCACGGAGCATTATCGTAGTTTTCTTTTCTTCTGACGTAAAAATCGCACGTTTCTTTCTAGTTTTCACCGCAAGTGCTGTAAATAGTCGAACTAGCCTGATTTTAATAAACGCCATTGAATCTTGCTGACCGCCTAGTGCTTCACTGTGGTTGACCTGGCGAACTCCAGTGCCTAACGCCACGCGTCTACGACACTGGGAACGCGACAGTGAAAAGTCTGATCCATCAACAACAGAGGCTTGAGAGGTAAGCCGTATGTAACCGTATTTAAAACCGAAGTCACGAAAAGATGGCAAGCAAAAACATTGACGGAGTCACGGAGAGTGGAGTTAGGAGAAGTAAAAGGAAAATACAATTGACACCTAAGGCCCTTCAAAAGCTCTTAATTATCATGCGATCAGTTGAAGAGACTACTGATGACACCGATATCAAGACCATAGCGAGCGACCTCACGGCCGCCGTGGGAGAGTTTGGAAGCCTTTTACAAGGCCTACTTAGCCTGTATGAGCAGGATCTTCACGGCGAATTTATAGATGGAGACCAACTCAAGGAGGAAAACGAGACTTTAAAACGAGCCCTCCTACTTATAGATAGTTTAAAAAATAGAATTGCTAGACAATCCGACGAATTGTTGGAGACAAGATCTGTTTACTCTCGTCATTCTTCGCGCCGCTCATTAGTCTCTAGTACTAGTAGCAGCGCTGCACGATTGCAAGCGCTAGCCGATGCGAGAGCCGCAAGTCAAGAAGCTCAGTACACGCGCCTCATAGCAGAAAAAGAGCTCGAGCGCAGAGCGCGTGACGCCGAGGCGGAAAGGATTCGGCAACAAGAAAAAGCGCGATACGAAAAGGAGTTAAAGATTCTAGGAGCAGATAAAAAAGCCGCAGTAGCAAATGCGATTCCGAATTGCCATCACTTGAAGTTCCCGGAATAAAAAACGAAGAGCGCACTTCACAATGGGTTCATTCCTCTCCTACGCTTAATCCCCCACCTGCGGATTATCGATCACGCCTCGGACGTACACAAGAATCGTCAAATGCCTTAGAACAATCAAAGCCTTTATCGTCTTCAGTAGTACCGAAAAGTCAATCTCTCAGTCAAGATCTGCCAAATAAGAAAGCACAACAAGATACTCCCTTTCATAGAGAGCCAATTATCACATCAACCCCCTTAATAGACGTCACCGGAAGCCAGCTAATTGAGACATTGACATCGGTAAACCAGCAAATTGTCGCCGGACTCGCGCGTCAAAATCTGCCTAAATGCCACCCTGACGTTTTTAGCGGGGACCCCACGCTTTCTCACCCGTGGAAAGCAGCGTTTAAAGCCATGATAACTGACGTCAGCGTATCCCCCGTCCAAGAGATAAACTACCTGCGTAGTTTTACAAGCGGAGAGCCTCAAAAACTTGTTGAAAATTATCGAAAAAGGAAACATCATGACCCCTGCTGGCTATTGAAAAACCTCGGGGCGGAATTGGAGAGGCGTTTCGGCAGCGCAGCGACAATTACTAAGGCATTAGTGGAGCGAATGCACGCGCTTGCCGCGTTCAGAGAAAGTGAAAATGACAAGCTTCAAGAATTTGCCGACCTTTGCGCTGATGTAACCAGCCAAATATCCTGCCTGCCTGGCCTCGCATGTCTCAACTTTCCCAATGCAATACAGCCGATCGCCGGTAAGCTACCACCGTCGCTTCGCGGGAAATGGGAGAAAGAACTTGCTAAATTCTCGGAGAACAATGGAGACGCCTATCCTGGCTTTCACGTTTTCTCGGAAGTTGTTCAAAAACATGCTAGGATAAAAAACAATCCAAACATTAACATTGGAGCTAGACTTGCCAATCCTCCTATCCAAACGCCGAGTCGCGCAGGACAGAACAAAAAGGCGCTTAAAACAAACACTGACCCCAACGATTCAAACGCACCAACAAGAGAAAGGGAGACAAAACGGTGCCCATTCCACGACTGAGACGGACACAGCTTAGAGGAGTGCAAAACCTTCGCTGCAAAAACATTAGAGGAGAAGACTGAATGGATCCTTCAGCCTGGACTTTGCTATCGCTGTCTGTCCGAAGGCCACAGAGCAAAGGATTGCAGACAAACGATCAAATGCAGTATATACAAACGTCACAACGCACTCCTCCACAAAGAGAAGCTGAAGAAACCCGAAGGTGGAGAGTCGGTCGACACAAAATGCACATTCCTGTGTGGAGCTAGCAAGGGCGGCGTGTCATGCAGTAAACTAGTACTGGTTGATGTCGTCAGCAAAGAGAGACCGAAAAGTATTTGTAGAGTCTATGCCATTATTGACGATCAAAGCAACTCGTCCTTGATCACCAGCGAACTTGCCGATGAATTAGGAGCAACCGGCCCAGAAGAAAAGTATTACCTAACTACATGCAGTGGCGAGAAAGAGGCAAAGTACGGACGACGCGTGACAGGTGTAGTCCTAAAATCCTTAAAAGGAACGGAGTCAGAACTTCCCACCCTCGTCGAATGCAGTAATATCCCTCGCGATAAACAAGAGATTCCAACACCGGAGATGGCCAGGAGATTCCCACACCTCAGCGATATCGCGAACGAAGTCCCGCAGCTTGATGGAAATGCCGAAATTCACCTGCTTATCGGACGAGATGCCCCGGAGTTGCTTAAAGTGAGGGAATTCAGAAACGGGCCAAAAGGAGCCCCGTGGGCGCAAAAGAAATCGTTAGCCTGGACGATAATCGGACAGATGTGCCTAGACCTAGTCGGGGGACCCGTGCACGTGCGCGCCTGCCGCACCAGTCTCCTCGCGGCCGGTCCGGGGGAGAAGTCAACGGAGACAAACAATTACGAATTCCTGCCATGCCCTAACCAGTTTACTGTAAAAGAGAGCTTTCTTGAGCAAAAGAGAGACATAACGGACAACGTGTTCATTACGAGTCGGGAGGATAACGATGTGAGCTTATCCTGCGAAGATCGCAAATTCTTAGATATCATGGAGACTGGCGTACATAAAAACGAACAGGGGAACTGGGAAATGCCTCTACCCTTCCTCCGTAAAGATCCTCATTTGCCAAACAATCGGAGTCAAGCAGTCAATCGTTTAAATGGCCTCATCCGCACCTTAAAAAGAAAGCCTCAGATGGCAAAGGACTACGTGGAGTTCATGGGGAAGATCATCGAAAAAGGCCACGCCTCCCCGGTGCCAATAGAAGAAATTACTAAGCCCCAGTCCGGTCGGGTGTGGTACCTTCCGCACTTTGGAGTTTACCACCCGATGAAACCTTTCGGAGGGAGACAACAGCTGTCATGTGTGACATCGAACAGATGTTCCATTCCTTTCACGTTGATCCAGAGCACAGAGACTTCCTACGTTTTCTCTGGTACGAAGACAATACACCCGGCAAACGGCTAATGGAGTACCGAATGAATGTTCACCTCTTTGGAAATGGACCAAGCCCAGCTGTAGCTACGTTTGGTTTAAGAAAGACCGCAGCTGACGGCGAGGAGGAGTTTGGAGAAAATGCAGCCGAATTTGTGCATCGTAACTTCTATGTTGACGACGGCTTGGCATCACGGCCCACTACCAAAGAGGCAATCGATCTTGTCACCGCGACTCAAGCAAAGTTAGCCACCGCTAACCTAAAGCTTCATAAGGTCGTATCCAACTCAGTTGAAGTCATGGAGGCGTTCCCAGCCGAAGATAGGGGAAAGGGAGTACGAGATCTAGATCTTCGGCACGATAGCCTTCTCGCACAACGCTCTCTAGGAGTCTATTGGAACCTTGAGGAAGACACCTTCACGTTCAAGGTCTGCCTTCCCGAAAAGCCATTCACACGAAGAGGAGTACTATCGGTCGTGAATTCAATTTATGATCCACTAGGCCTTGCAGTGCCAGTCCTACTTGAAGGGAAGTTATTGCTTCAGCAGCTAGTACTCTTGGGGAAGAAGAACAATAAGGAAAAACCATTAGGATGGGACGACGCTCTACCAGACACGCTATTGTCGCAGTGGCAACGTTGGAGAAATTCGCTTCCCCATTTGGAGAACGTTTCAGTACCCCGCTGCTACCACCCGCCTGGTTTCGGGACAATCGTAAGAAGAGAAATTCACGCCTTTTCGGACGCCAGCAAGGACGCGATTGGAGCTTCAATTTACCTAAGACTCTTTAACGATAGAGGAGAAATCTGCACGGCCTTGCTCTTCGGTCAATCAAAGGTAGCACCTGCTCAGACCACAAGCATCCCCCGCCTAGAGTTGTGTTCCGCTGTCCTTGCCTCGCAAGCAGTTAACAAGATGGTAAAGGAGATAGACATGGAGATTAACGAGATCACCTTTTACAAAGGACTCAAAGGTCGTCCTCGGTTACATCCAAAACGAGAGCCGGAGGTTCTATGTTTACGTCGCTAACCGTGTACAAACAATCCGGAAGATTTCCAGCCCCAAGCAGTGGAAGTATATCGATACGAGCGAGAACCCTGCAGACCTGAGTACACGTTGCCTGAACGCGCAAAGTCTCACAGGATCGGATTGGCTAACCGGACCAAGCTTCTTAAGAGACCCAAACAGAACAGCAGCAGAAGATGAAGAGGACGAGATTCCACTAAATGAGAACGATCCGGAAGTACGAAAGAACACCGTGAGCCTGAAAACGCAAACCAGCAAACACCATGGTCTTGGAGCAGACAGGTTCTCACGATTTTCGAGCCTTCATTCCTTGCAACGTGCAATCGCAAATTTGATCGTATTTATCAAGGAGTTCAAACGGAGAAAGAACAAGAGTCAGGAAGAGTTTGAGTCGAAAATATCAAGCAGCAAGAACTCAAAACTGATGCGGTAGCCAACGGCAAAGGAACTTCAGGAGACCATGACAGTAATAATTCGCGCCGTACAAAGTGAAAGCTTCTCAGAAGAATTGAAGTCGGATCGAAGGATTGCAGAGAGCAACGAACCGGAGACTGTTCCAAAGAGTTCGAAGCTGTACCGTTTAGACCCCTTTGTGGATAATAATGGTGTTCTACGAGTCGGTGGCCGTCTTCGACGCGCTACTTTAGAATTTGGAGAAAAGCACCCCGTTCTGATACCGAAGAAAAACCACGTTGCCGATCTGATAACACGTCACTACCACAGACAAGTCCACCACCAAGGTCGTCAGATTACGCACGGTGCCATCCGCCAAGCTGGGTACTGGTTGATTGGAGGCCACAATACTGTAGCACGGGAGTTAAACAAGTGTGTTACATGCAAGAAATTGAGAGGACCAGTGATACAACAGCGTATGGCCGACCTACCAGCAGACAGAACAGAAGTAGCCCCTCCCTTCACAAACGTTGGGTTCGACGTTTTCGGCCCCTGGATGATACGTTCTAGGAAGACACGCGGAGGCGCAGCCAACTCCAAACGCTGGGGACTGGTGTTCATTTGTCTAAGTAGCAGAGCGATCCACATTGAACTACTGGAGTCCATGGATGCTAGTTCCTTCATCTGCGCCCTGAGAAGATTCCTTGCACTTCGCGGTCCTGTTTCCATTCTCAGGTGCGATCGGGGTACGAATTTCATTGGTGGAGAATCGGAGCTGGAAGACGCCCTGAGAGAGATGGACCAACGTCAAGTGAAAGGCTACGTAAACAACCATGGGTGCGAGTGGATCTTCAACCCACCACATGCCTCACATTTTGGTGGCGCTTGGGAGCGCCAGGTAGGCACCATTCGCCGCGTATTAGGAGCGATGTTTGCGAAGCTTGGCAGTCATCAACTTACGCACGAACTACTCATAACACTTATGGCAGAGGTGACCGCGATAGTCAACGCCCGCCCTATATCTGCTATACCAACAGACGCAGATGAACCTCAACCGCTGTCACCCTCTATGCTTTTGACTATCAAGACACGCCCACTTGGCCCGCCACCCGGCAACTTTGTTCCACCTGACGTCTACGCACGACACCGTTGGAGACGTGTCCAGTACCTTGCGGACCAATTCTGGATACGATGGAGGCGCGAGTACCTTCAAAGCATGCAGACCAGGACCAAGTGGGAGGAGCCGAAGAGAAATCTACGCACAGGAGACGTAGTTCTTGTCAAAGAGGAGGGAGCTTGCAGAAACGACTGGCCCGTCGGCAGAGTTTCAGAAGCCATTGAGAGTGATGACGGACGAGTAAGAAAGGCCCAAGTTGAGATAGTGAGAGGCGCTGCAAAGAAGACGTTCTTGCGACCAATTAAGGAGCTTGTCCTTCTGGTACCCGCACCAGCGGAGTAGTTTCCCTAAACACCGAAGATAATTAAACAGGAGCAAGGATCAGAGATCCTTGGGCGAGGAGTGTCACGTTATCCGCGAGATATGACATTTTAATTAGTTACATTCAAGGACTGTTTTTTCTTTCGTGATTGTAACATTGATTTTTTTATTGCATGATCATCGTATATCCGTTTTTTGGCTAGGCGTACAAAGCTTTATTCAGTTTTATTTCTTTTACGTCAGAAGGCATGCGTTAGATAATTCCTTTACTAAGCACGTTTATTCAGTTGTAAGAAGCCCATCACAGTGTAAGGAGCTTTTGGAGAACTTTCGGAGTTATTACAACTGTAGGAGATTTGGAGTTCTTTTAACCTCCGGAGTCAAGATCAGACGTAAGTCACGCTTGTAAATTCAGTAGTTTGTTTTTCTTTCTTTTTTCGTGCACGGAGCATTATCGTAGTTTTCTTTTCTTCTGACGTAAAAATCGCACGTTTCTTTCTAGTTTTCACCGCAAGTGCTGTAAATAGTCGAACTAGCCAGATTTTAATAAACGCCATTGAATCTTGCTGACCGCCTAGTGCTTCACTGTGGTTGACCTGGCGAACTCCAGTGCCTAACGCCACACTTTATGTAATTCATGTAAGGACTATGGGACATATTATTGTCGCCCTAGGGACCTTTATCGCCTAGCCTGGGATTTCTCGTGTCCTACTGGAGCAGATGTAATGCCGAACGGCAACCGGCGGAAACAGAAACGGCCACTGGGAGTGATGAAAGTCGTCACCCTTGAACTGTTTGGGCGCAGAGGTATTTGCCAAAAAGTAAACCATTTGGCGCGTCTAATTTTGAAAATACCATGGCTCCGGCTATTTTGGAGCGACGTCCTCCAAGGTGGGTAGACTTAAAGGGGTGGCGAATGGTAAAATCCGAGACTCGCCGAGACGCCGAGATCCTAGTTAGAAATCCGAGCCCGAGACTCTTTGGTGAAAAGTTTCGATACTCAAAAAAAGTAAAAACAAACCATGAAAAAACGAGACTTCGAGACTTATCAAAAACGTTTCCGAGATTTCGAGATCGTGCCAAAATTTTCCGAGACCCACGTTTTTCGAGGTACCATTCGCCACCCCTACTTAACTGCTTCAGTCAATTTCCTCAGGTCAACACAAATTCTGACTTTACCGTTGCGCTTAATAACCGGGATCATAGGAGCGCACCAGTCGGTCGGCTGGGTAACTTCTGCATTTAATGCCTTTTTCCAACATACGGTCGAGTTCTTCTTCCACTGTAGGGAACAAAGGGAATGAAACTTCCCTTGCATCGTTAACACAGCACGGCTCAGCTATATCGGTGAGCTCAATCTGGCTCTCAGTTGATTAGACCAATGTCAACAAACATGCTTGAACAGGCTCGACAAAACCCATTTGACAAGCTGTGTGACTGCTTAGTAGGTTGTTTACACAGGGTCCTTAATTTAAGTGAACTATTTGCGGTGAACTGACCTTTGCATCTGGACTGGATAGCACCGTATTTGAAGGCTTTGGTTTCGGACGCTCTGTTAGGGCTTGATAAGTCAAATATCTGCTTCTGTGCCAATTTTGAACTGCACAGGCTTCCGGTTGACGTGTAACACAACTCGTACTTATCACATGAGTTAACAGCTCCAAGAAAAAATTGCTAAGTATTTCCTCCCAGATCTGACGTTACTTCTCTTATGGAACGGCAAACAGTTCCAACATTTAGGTCATCTCTTCCCATCTCTTCCCTACCCAATTTCATAGAGAATAAGGCTGAGCGGAGTGTTCTTAGGGTTTTTGTCGCGCACATTACGGCCTAATTTACGCGCTGGTCGTCTGATTTACTCCTCCCAATGCTTATCATCTGACTGGCCTGCAACTTGGAATTTTTTATTTCATCTGCAGCTTTTTAGGGTGATTTGCTAAGAATGTCAATAACAATTCTGTTCCTGATTTGCCCAGCTCTCTGTGTT